GAGATGTTATATCCGTACTACATACTACGATATGTATCCACATATGAACAACTACACAGTGGATGTCAGTCGTATGTATATGACAGAGTGTGCCTCCCTCGGAAATAGGCCGGTCTTGTCGGCGGTGGCAACAGTAAATTGCGGTGCCGCGCGCTTAACACTGTTAACGGACTACGACTTCGTTAGTCACCGTCGTCCGCTTAACCTCACTAGTGACACTTCTCCAGTGCACCCAAAAGCCCGTTGCATAAGGCTGCTCTTTACCGCGAAACCAGCGTGATGACACGGTAGAAACCAGACAACCTCGAAAAAGTAGCCGCAAATTAATCTAATCAATAATAATTTGAAGAAATATAGATATAATTATATTTTCTCCATACATTATGTTTAGAATCAAATAAAAAGAGAAAAAATTAAAACGTACTAAAATCGAAGGTAATTCTACCAATAAATCGATAAAATAAATAAATCTTTCTATTCGAAAAAAAAATCAGAAACAAATGAAGAAGAGGCAACGCTGGTTTTCGAATATCAAAGATTTCAGATACATTTCATCTTATTAATAAAATATGTAACAAATCGATGGGAGAAGCGCCATTATTGTGAGGAGGTCACGAATTGCGGCACGATCGACGATGGCGCGATCTAACTTTGATCTTGTTTCAGGAACGGACCGTGGATTTCGAAATTGGAATTCTCGGTCAGATAGCACGTACGATCTCCGGCTCCATTGGTTAATGCAGTAATACCCAGCAGGTTGTGGATTCATCCGATCGGCTTGTATACACTAACGTACACATCGCAATGTCGATGGTATAATCGTGGAACGCGGAACAATTCCTCACTGTGGTATCTATCGTATAGCTGTGAGAATAATCATTTCGTTATGCTGCAGAAATACCAACGGCCTTGCGTCCATCATTCTCTTTTCACAGTTCTCTCATCATACCTTTCGCCCACGTATATATGTCTCCATGTATCCGCCATTTGTCATGGAATATTATGCATCGCGCGACCACGCGTACTCGACCGGCATAAGGAACACCGATAGATACTCGAGTTTGGATATTACTTGTGTTTTATCGCTTCGCGCGGTCCACCGAGTTCGAGAGTTAACTCTGATCACGCTCGCGAGTTCCCGAGCGGAGAGTTAGAAAATCGCTCGGCTGACTCTCGGGATCTAATGCACGATTTACCGACGGACCATGCGGAATCATAGATTATAGTTAATATCCCAGAATTGAACTTCGATGATAAAGAAATGTCTGTATGACAATCGTTCAACTCTCTTTAGCGGCTTGGAAGGCTTTAGTATTAAAAATAGTGTTAAATTTTATTATTATGGTTTTAGTCGTTCAACATTGTAATGATAATTGACATAATCATGAAAAAAATCGTATATATCTATATGGATACAATTTTAAAGAACGAATGAATTATTTCCTAATTTTTATGCTAAGATTATATCTTCCCTCGTGCATAATTTTTACATTCTAAATTTCTTGCAGCGAAATCTCACTCACAAGAAAATGAAAATACAACCACCTTTCACTTCTTGAAAAAGAGTAACAACTTTCACTCTTTTTTAAAGTAAATTTTCACTTCAAAGAAGTGAAATCTCACTTTTTCTGGAATGAAATTTTACTAAAAAAAGTGAAAATTGTCACTCTTTTTCAAGAAGTGAAATATTTTCACTTTTGTTCAAGGGTAATTTTCACTCTCTTGAAGTGAGGTTTCACTATAAGAAATTTAGAGTACAGGAAATTGATAAATAAATCTTATTAAATTTCTAAAAGTAAATAATGTTTCAGTACTCTTAACGTATTTGCAAAAATATTATATTTTAAATTACCATTTATTTTCTCCATTTTTTATTTCTCGAGTAAAATATGTTCAAGGGGAGTGCTCATCATCTCTTATTTCGATGCATCGATCGAATTGCGGAAAAAATATGTCTACCATTTGAAAATTATTATTAATATTTACCTGACAGCCGCATCAACTGCACGTGCACGCATATGTGAAATGCATTATGTGAGAAAGAAATTTTAGTCTGTAACGATATTTCTCCCAGCTCACATTTACGCCGCAATTAATGGAATTACACACAGAAGTTTCATCTCGGCTTTAAGCGTCAGACGTTCATGCCGCACATGCAGGCGGTCATTATCCGACGGGATTAAACCGTCCGTCGTTGCTGCACGAATTAATCGGTTAAGCGGGATAACGTCTGTATGTATTAATGCATACGGAATTCGTTACGAATAATATTCAACTATTTTCTTTCATGACTGCCGGTAACAGCACTCATGCTAATAATCGTTTTAATTAAGCGATACATTCGATTATATATTTCATTCTGTAATACATTACATACCATGTGCATTACATCTAACGATTATAAACTGTATACAATCATCAGACGTGTGTGTGTGTGTGTGTGTGTGTGTGTATGTGTGTGTGTGTGTGTGTGTGTGTGTGTGTGTGTGTGTGTGTGTGTGTGTGTGTGTGTGTGTGTGTGTAATTCAATATGCATTCATATAAAGCTTGCAACAAATGGCGACATAATTATTGTGTGATCGGCTTTTCAGAATAGCTAACGGATTACAACATCAGATTACGCGACCCTCCCGGCACTCTCTTTTCTATCCCTATCGTTACTATCGATTGCTGACTATTTCTGATCAACCTGTACGAGAACATGGAGATCGCACGAGACCACGGAAAGAGAGAGAGAAAGAGAGAGAGAAAGAGAGAGAGAGAGAGAGAGAGAGAGAGAGACAGAGAGCTATAAAATGCATAAGCATAATGTACCTATCGCGGTTTACACGTAAATACAACGCGTGTAGGAAGTTGGATGACATGAAAATGGCGGGTACCAACATTGCGGATTTCGCATTGGACAATCACATGGACTCTGATCAAAACGTGCGACATTCGTTATGCATGTATTGGAACAAGCCAATCAGGCTGATGAGACGAACGATATACAAACGTTTGCGTGCCATGTATACAAAATGTCCACAAACTTCTTTTTGTGAAAGATACGCGAGAAACGTATACTAATCAGTTGATGTAGGTTTCAATTAAATTAAAATTTAATTTAATTAAAATTAAGCTAAATTAAATTTGCCTTTTCATATTAAGTAAAACTTATTACTTACAATTCATCCACTCGACAATGACATAATGAATCGTAGAGTAATAGTAAATATAATATATTAATCAATAGACTAATTTATGAGGAATAATAATTAACGAAAAATTTATAATAGATTCTAGATTTTATTCTAGATTAAATATCACATTATATGCAAAGATGTATTATTAGCTTTAAATATTGTTAAAATCAAAATCATATATTATAACAACATTAGAAATAAGTAGTAATTATGTTTGAAATTTTTAAATAATAGATAGCTGTAATTAGTCGTCATCCGGCCGTAAAAAGTAGTTTTCGGATAACGACTTAATATTTGCTCGAATAATATGCTACTAACATTTTTTAACTTTATCATATATCCTAAAATAATTTTCATAATAACTAATTATATTTCGTAATAATTATTAATTACACTTAATTTTGTTTTAGTCTGATTTGAACATTCATATATATATATTAATTCTATTGTATATACCTATCTTGTTTTTCTCTGACACTCTACTTGCTCTTATATTTCCGTGATATATTTTTTACTAGATTTAGATCTTTATTATGTACATATATATATATTTAAGTTTCATATTATTATGCATTGTATGTAGTATCTTTTTATGAACATATATTTATAATCTTGGATATTTATAATCTTGATACTGGATCTGATTTTTTTGAAATTACACTCGAAATAATATAAAATATGAATACTAAACTATTGTATGTTTCCCATTTTCCGTATCCTATTGAGTTTCTGTATCCTATTCGAACACAAAATATAATCGACAAGACAAACCGATATTGTGACAATAGAACGTCAAAATAAAAAAAAAACCGAATGCTCGCCATTGTACACTTTTGTATTTCCGTGAATGATTGTTGTGGTTCAACTATCGTTAGTGAATTGAATGTATACATACAAAGCCGCGGAATAGAAAAAGTATGAAAAAAGGGAAAAAACTCGTAAATAGGGAATACACTGTAATAGTTTGCCACAGTTAACAATACTATTTCGAGCTTCAGTAACATATAATCCCTATGATAAATTGTATAAAGGATAATAATAATAATATTATAACTTATACGTATAACATAATTTTATAACTTAAATGATAATAAATATTATAAGTAAGAGGATTCATAAAAGTTTTGATTTTAAATATTCTGTATATCACATCTTAAATATGTAGATATATAATAATCCCGAAATATTAATCTTCCAGAGTTGAACGGAAGGTCTATTGAACCCTTATTCAATTATATTTTTTACATTTGCATATTTGAATTATTAAAATACATTCAGTACAGTAATTAGCAAGATTGAAAATTAGAAAATACATGTTTTCAGTTGATACCCATACAGTATAGATCACTCCAACAATACTGAACATTCCATCTACATTGCAGTAACATTACAAATGTTGGAATGTTCGTACATATAAGCTTCTGTGGGTATGCACAAACTGAAAATTTGTAATTGATCTTGCTAATTACCGCACTGAAGAGGATTCAAATCTAGAATCAAAACGTCTGCAGTTAACTTCATTTGATGAAGTCAAATTGTTTGCGAATTATACCTTATCGCCTTATGAATATATTATATAAATAAATACTATTTAATTAAATTTAATTAATTTTAATTTAATTAATTAAATGGATCTTATACAACGTCAGTAACTGTTTTATATATTTTGATTAACTCTGAGGAGTTAATGTATTATTCATCTTTAAATTTTTACTTTCTCCAATTCTTTCTAACAATTTAAAATAACTAATTTTTTGGCGAACAAAATTACAGCGTTTTGCTCTCAGTTACATAGTTTCACGTTAATTTATTACTCACCATAATGTCGAAAGAGGTTGTGATGATAAGGCCGTAAGTTAATCTGAAAACAAATTTAAATAATTTTTAAATTTATTATCAAAAATATATCAAATTAAATAAATTATGTTATGTATATAAAATAAATGAATAACAATTACCAAAAATAAAGTTTTGCAGTTAATATTTATATAATCATTTAATGACAGAACTATGACAAATAATGTTTATGTTCATCAGCACGATTATTATAATGCTAAATCATTAGAAATAAATAAATAGTTACAACAGAGAATACGAGAAATGAGTAAATAAAATGTTTACCAATCAGTACATAGCTTTTCCAAAACTGTTCCATTGTTCCAAGCGTGTATACACCTATACAAATCGATAGAGGAAAAACATAGTTAATTATGATCATTTCGGCTAATTACTGACAATCACTTACCGCCGAAACTTACTGTACAGGCGACTCGTTTGAAATAAACAAACAAAGCGAAATGAAATGCAACGATTATTCGCCTCTGGCGTTCGATAACGTTCCATCAGTTCCATGTTCGTTACGCGCACTCGATCCGTTTCTGCGCATGAAAAATTCGAATCGCGTCAACATCATACCAAAGCGCGGACGTCACATTCCGAATCTAACGGAAAACGCAAGGGATCCGATAACTGCGGAACAAATATTGTTTAATTGCTATCTAATTGACATCTTACTCTAACGCGCGTCGACAAGTATACAACGATGAAACGTCCGATAAACGCGGCGATAACGGATGCCAACTCGATGTCTCTAAACGAAGAAACTAAACGCAGAGGTCGCGCCACGCGTTACATACAATCGTACACGCAAGTAATTTAATGTGCCACACCACGCTCGATTCAATGTCGTTCCTGACACACGATCACAGAGTTGAGTCTCAATCAGGTAAACGCGGTACGATCCCATCGCGTCGTCATCTCGCAATGAAATGAAACGCGGTCGATCTAACTGTCTGACAACAGTTGACTGACACTGAAGGTGTACCGCGCGACGCGCTAGTCAGACGAAAAACAGTTGAGCGCGTGACGCGCCAGTGACGCGTGAACATCGTAATAAAATTGTGACCGCTACGTGTTGCTCGCTTAACGTAACTCGAACATAATAACGATGGACGGTCGATCATTGCCGCGTGTCTTAATGCGATTAATACATCAAACGCGCTCGGCTATTCGAACGATGTTCTCGATGTTTAATTAGGCACACGATGCATCTCTCACGGTGGAGAGTGACGCGCGATACGTTGTTCACACGTATTCCGTCCGTCGGATAATTAATCTCATTTACCCTCGGTAATCGTGAATTTTTTACTCGTTGTTTTTGTGTGCTGTGCACGCGAACTGTAACTGCGATTATAAATCGGTGAACTGGCTTTTTCGATACTCTGAATGTAGCGACTGGATAAAATGACAGTGAATCACTACGTTTTGCTTCGTATTATGCTAATTTCGGATGAAAGCAGTAGCATTTCAACAATGACACAACAGTGAAGGTATCTATTAATAAGAATATCATAATGTGTGTAACAGGATAAAATTATTTTTACTCTATATTTATCTCTATATTTATGGATGTAGCCAAGAAAAGGCATTCATAGATTGTGCTTAGTAAGTATTTACAAGATGTTAATTTTGGTAAAGGAGAAAAAGAAAATATATATTATAGAAAGATTTTCTAAAATTTTCTCTCTCTCTCTCTCTCTCTTCCTTCTCCCTCCCCCCTCTCTTTCTCTTCCTTCTCCCTCTCCCCTCTCTCTCTAAAATGACTAGATTTAAGTCCTTTTACTTCAAAGAATCAATTTACAATTTTAAGAGAAAAATAAAATAAATAATAATTAGTAAATTAAATATATATTTTATAATTCACCTATCAGTAATTATATAATTATATAATTAAAAATAATATAAAACAGAACAGGTCTAATAATTATATCATTCGACTATTCTTCCTCTTCTTTCTAATTTAGAAGTTTTAACTCTAATTTAGCCTCCTTTAAACAAAATTCTAGCTCTACACCTATGATTATATTAATTACGTTACTCTCATTTAAAAAATGTCACATCAAATATAGTTATGATCTTGAAAACATTAATTAGAAAATATTAAAGACTGACAAAATTATTAAGCAAAGAATTCTAATTCTAATTCATTTTTTGAATGTAATACTTTTTATAATTTATATCATATAATTATATATCATATAATTATAATTTATATCAAAAATTTTCCAAATTTTATCAGTGATATCGAAGGAGATCGCGATTATTGAAGAAAAGTGTTTGTTACGAATGTTAATGTAGATTAATCTCCAAGCAAATGAATTACGTTTCATCAAATCCATGGATTTCACCTAAACAAAATAGAGCCGACCACAATCTACAATTTATGTCTAACTCAGGATATACTGAACAGGATATACTGAAGACTAAAGCCGCAGTGTACATCGATTTACCATCGCGTATTGATCTACAATTAATCATCAATATATCCACCAAATCTTTTGCATGTTAAGCCGAAGGGGAGATTATAGTGTCGCGTTAATTGGAGTACGGCAAAGCTGTTTAAGTTTGTAGGTAGAAGGGTCTTTCATTAGGTACTTTTCCAAACCCATTCATGTCACCATAATAGTAACGAACCAATATAACATATATTTAATTGTTTATATAACAATTTGCGAGTGGAGCTTTCTAATGTTCGTTCTCCTACATTCTTTCACTGCATTGAAAAAATTTACTAAATCTTAATACATATTTTTTTTAATAATATATAAACATTAAGTAAACATTTACAGTAAACAAATATTTACTCAATAAAAGAATTATAATTAAATTAATGATTTTTATATCAAATAAATATAACGTTTATATTTAATAAATATTACTTATTCAAAATTATTCAAATAAATATTTATTTCTTTTCAGGATGAAAAAGAACAGCACAATAGTCATGATAACTTATCTTATACAGCAGAGTCATTCCAATATTCCGCGATATTACAACGTTTCATGAATATTGTAGTATTGGAAACATTGCAGCAATGTTACTGCAAGCTTCTGTGCTGTATGAGATGATATTATGATTTTTATGTTCTATACCTAAGATGTATACAATTGTGATTGCGTCTTCACAATTATGCCGAGAATGAATGAGCATCCGCGTGAGAAATGTCCAAAGTGGAGCAGTAAATGGCGACAGCGCATTCAGAACTGTGAGTACATTTATTTATTATATTGGGAGGAGGGTTAATTGTTCGTTTGTGTCCAATGATTTATCAATATTGCATTATAACGATTGTGCTTTTCGGCAGGCGATTATCATTATTTTTCAATAGGTACGTTTCTTTGCAAATTGAATAAAAACTGTCCACTTATTTTCGTTCCATTAATGATGCATCAATATTTTTCTTTTTCTCTGTTTTGAATAAGTATAAACTGATATAATTCTTTTAACTTTTATTCAGATTTGATAGAAATTACTTTTTTTTGTTAACTCAATTTTATTCCATTGTAAACAATAAGTTTTAGAAGTTATAATATTACTTTTTTTATTATTATATTCGATCTAAATCGAAAATGCGTTTCACGATTGATATTTACATTTGTTCAATTTTGCTCCGTTTTGCACAGTTTTTACATTTTTATTGTCTTTACGTATGAATCCAATATGCCTATAAATTATATTTACAAAGGTTTAATTAAGTTAATTAAGTAAAGGATAATTAAGTTCAGAGACAAACGCGAGAGATAAAAGTAATTAAGTCAATCAAGAGAAACCTGGGCTAGTTGTCAGTTTTTGAATAATTATTTTTAGAAAAAAGTGAACGTATGAGTTTGAAACATTGTATATGTTATAATACACTTGCATCTCTCTCTCTCTCTCTCTCTCTCTCTCTCTCTCTCTCTCTCTCTCAAGTATTAAAAAAAATATTATATAAATATTATAGAAATATTATAAATACATCATCATACATATAAGTTATTTAATTTTAAATAAAGCAATAAAACTGATAATTAACCCCGTGCTTGAAGTTGATTGTCTCGGAGGGGGGGGAGGGGGAGGGAAGGGGATTGCAGTAATATATTCTATATGAATAAAACATGTAAAAAATATAATCTTTATTTTAATGTCAGTAGTGGTTTATGTATATTTTAGAAAATTATATATGTATCGAGAAAATTAAGATAATAATTTTAATCGTAATTAAACGTTATTTTTTTTTACTATAATTTCTATACGAAAAATGAAAAAATATATCTAAGTAACATATTATATTCATAAATATATTCTCTAAAAATGTGTCTATCTAAAGAGATTGAAATTAGCTGTCACCTAATTCCGACTCATATTGATCAATCTTCCGTTTAGACGTTTTTAGTAAAAGAAATTATATTCATAAATTTTGTTACGATAATGATTAACTAACTATAATAAAAATTATTATTTAAGGTATATTATTTTTTACGACAAAAAATCGCGAATGATAATGCTAAAAAAGAAGATAAGAAAAATTTACCAATTTCATTTTCTTAAAAGTCATTATAAGTATAATATATATATAATATATATATATAAAACGATTTTTTACAATAAACCATTTTGCACTTTAATATTATACTTTACTATTATAATAATCAGTAATCTATAAAAAGAAGAGAATGTTGTATCATATACTGATTGAATTATATATAATAATAATAATTATTAGTTTTTTAACAATCGATCTTGTATGACAACCGGCCCCGATCTCTTCTAATATAGATATATATTACCGATATCGCAGATATCATCCTACTAATAAATCCTATTCGTCAGAACGGACGTTTATCAAAAATATATTCATAGTTTGATCATAGCTGAAATATCGCGCAATTTTTGGGACAATTTAAACGACATTTCGAGACAAAAGTGAGGATAAGCTTGAAAGGAACGGTTAGAGTTCGACATTTCATTTCGGTAAGCACGAAAGGCACGATTGAATAGAAGTATGACGCACGAGTGAGATCAGTTTTCATTCTTTGGAGCTA